AGTTTTCCGCTGCTGCCTTGGAAAAGGTAAAAGCCAGCTCTTTGATCCCATGGTACCGGGACGTGTAGTGCCTATCAGCCACAAACACGAAACTTCTTGGGCGTTTTGATGAATCCAAGAAGCATTTCTGCAAAAGCAACGACAGAAGGCTTCATTTACGCACAAAATAGCGAGGATACCCTTGTTTTTTGTGCAAAATGTTTATAAAAAAGGCTGAATGGTTATTTTTCTACCTCTCTCTCATTATTTTCAGATAAAAAAAAACTTCCAGTCTTCACTCGCGCGCGTTAGATTCTCATTAGAAGAGTCACGCGTTTTAAGCCCGCCGTCGCGCAGTCTACGACCCACGGATATATCGAAAAATCTAGGCCATCCTCGCCAGTCGGCACAGCTAGCAGCTCGACGATTTCCTGTGCCAAACGAGAAATATCCTATTTCCCGTATGCTTTGCTGCATCAGACACGTTCCTGATTGGCTGAAAAACTTGCTCTACGGGATCAACCATGAAAGCAAAATGCAATTTTTCGGCCTGGGAAAATTGAACTACGCATGTAGAAAGCTCGAACATCGTAAGGACGGGACATAAGTGATGGTGACAAAATGCGAATGTTCGGAGCTTATTTCTGGTAAATCTCTGTGGGTGTTTTTTCGGATTTTATCGAAGTTTCTATTTGTTAGATATCCAATCCTCTGAAGTTGGGAGTTTCCATTGGAATGTCATGTTGTCGGCGTGAGTCTAGCTCTGAGCTCTCTTTCGCGTTAGAATTCTTGATTCTACGTCTTTCTAGCAATACCTTACCACTTTAGTGGCCTGAGCGAATTTGACGAGGTTTGTTACACCCCAAAACTTCCAATCTGACGTGCTGCGATTCATTCGCATGAGCGCCGCACATGGACGTTAAATCCATGATGAACTTCTGCTCGCTATTTTCAGTCACGGCTTCGCTCAAGCTGCAACGCTCAAGGTCGATATAATGCATAATTTGACTAAATAAATTAGGCATAACAAGCCGCCTTTGGCAACTGGTGACAATCATCAACATATCCTTGTATCTACTGTTTACACCAAGCCTACTTACCCCAAACAATCTTCAAACTTATGTCCTCTGAGTTCTGCACTTACTTCTTATCGCAATTCCCGGGTCAACGTTTGGTCTATGGGCCGCTAACGTTTGAATGAGCAGACGATAACAAGTAGAACAGTTTGAAACAGCAGACGACAGTCCGAACGATCAGGCGGCCGTTTGAACTTGAAGATGCACTAAACATAGTTCGCGGTTGGTCCGGACAACATCGCGGTTTTTCCGCGTTGATGTTAGAAAAAAAGAAATTCGACGACCAGAGGAACATGTGAATTTACCCCTAGGTGCTTCCCGCATAAGCAACCATGATCGGACGGTTTCGGGTTTTCATCTTTCGCGGCCCCGTTATACCTTTTCAAACCGAACCGAGCAGGCAGAAAACATAAAAACTGATTTTGAAACCTTTCCCGATTTTTATGGCACAGCCCTATTCGCGGCGTTTTAACGAGAAGGTGCTTTTTTTTCTCGTCGCTTCCTGAACTACACAGGAATGCACGTCCCGCATGGTGACTTCCGCGCACAGCCCAGGACCAGAAGTGCGCCCGACGCGCCACCACCGCGGCCTGACGTAAAAGAGTTCAGTTCGTGTATGAGAATGCAAATGCACCCCATGACATTGGCGCCCTTGCCAACTGTAATGCTGTCTTACAACAGAACTTGAAGAATACGCATTAAAATCACTGAACTCCTTGACGTTGTCGTTGGAAAGCTTGTTTTCTTTTCATCCTCTTCTACCGCTCCTCCCTGCGGCTACGTGGGATGGAGGGGTGAGATAGAAGCCTCAACTGTCCCTCCTATGAAACCTAAAAGTGAATAGCTTTCACGGTTATCAAATCACAGCCGTACCTTCCTCTAAGATCAATCTGGAAACCATAACAGCGGTTTGTGTCGTAGCCCAGAATTACAATGCCCCGTGTCCTGAACGAACGCCAACGGGATAAACGGTCAACCTCTTTTCAAAAGATCTTTAGATTTTGGAAGAATCAGGAGAGGCCTCTCATGATGACCGCTGAACCTGTGTTCTTACGAAACTTATTTGTAGAAAACTGCCCTGTTTTTTCTTGGCCATCGTGACCTCCAAATTGGGAGTTCTTCATATAAAGCGGTAGTTAAGAAAATTTTACCGGCGACTGTTTTACGGATTTCAATGGGAGTATCCTAAAACATGAGACCTTAAAAATAACGTTACCTGAATCAAGAAATACACAGAGAAAGAAAAGTCACGGTACACCTATGCCTAATATTCATCCAACCAAAAAATGACATTTTGGGCGCCTGTAGCATTTGTTTTCGCGAGAAAAACTTGTCAGAAGAAAAAAAAAATATATCGATTTACTCGCTGACAAGATTTTCACTGCAATTAATGCAACAGGCGCCCTCAATCAAATGTTTTGGGCCAACGGTTCAAAAATCGTGAGCGAGATCTCAACGCGCTCATTGCGGTCTGTCGTCTTGAATGTCCCCTATGCTTTCGTGACGAAGGGGACGCAGTGGAGTCAGCAAACAGTTAAGGGACGAAATTAATGGACACATAGAACGCAAGATCCTTCGCGTAGCTGCGCCACATTGGTCAACGGGACCGGTACCCACCATTGTTCCCGAACGCACTCAGCTGAATTTCGATTCGCTTGGATAAAATCTGACGCGCACAAGAAATAACGTTACATGGAATGGAAAACCACTCACCTTATTGTCGGTCGTCGCGACTATAGACTTGGAAAGTAATCCGTCACAAGTAATGGATTACTTGTAATCCGTTTCTTTTTTTAGTAATTTTGTAATTGCCACGTTTATTTTTTTTTTGCGGCAGTAATTTGCAATGTACTGTCGTTAAAAATATTACTGACGGATTACTTTACATTTATTTTTTGATACATTTATTTTAGCTCAGGAGAGCCGTGCCGCCACAGAAAGGCAAATTGCCATACCTTCGTAGCCTGGGGCGCCGCTTCTAAAGACGATGAAATGGTATAGTACAAATGAACCGTGTGAATGATGACGATTATGATGGGATGATAAAGAGGGTGATGAAGAGCATCAGGCCTAGCAACGGTCTTCGCGACGGTGGTCTTCGCGGATCTGCCATGGGCTGCTGACTTCTAGCAGGCTAGACTCGAGCGCCTGGCGAGGGCTCTCTGCTTGCCCAGCATGCAGACGATCCGGTCAAATTTCCCGTGACGCAGGGAGTCTAGCAGCCCCGTGTTAGAGCTCCGGAGGTTTACGCCGGTGTTGTCCGGGCGGCGGTCTTCGCGAAAGCGGGCCTTGAAGCTTGCCGTCGAGCTTGTAACCGAGCAGCTTGAGCATGCACCCTGACGATCGAAGACATAATGGGTGCCACTGGTCCGGTTGGCTCTTTGACGATGGAAAAAAACACGTGCTACGCCCAGCTGGCTTCCTCTTCTACTTTAATCACTCGTTACTTTTTAAAAGTATAAACATTATGCAGAAACTGAAGCAATATGAGTGTGCGACTCCCAGCTCGGCCAAAGCTCAAAGACGAGCGCTCGCACCCACGCATTTTCCAGTACTGCATGCGACTATACTCCGCTCGTAAATAAGCTGACAGTGCTTCAGCGCTACAGACACGAGACCGCAGCTTTGAAACGTGGCGCTCACACTTAAAAGGGAGCATTCATGGATCGGTTCCTTGCGTCCGGATCTCGTAGCGGAGGTAGACGCTGCTACTGAGTATGCGCACGGCTAACTTCGCCTGCGGAATTCCAGGGATTATTTCCAGACACTGTAAGCTAGCAAGTTGTCGGGTCTGGTTGCATCCATTTTGGTTGCAGACTACGCTGCCTTCTGAGCTACAGGTGACCGGAGTGCACCTACATTCTTTCTCATAAGTACAATCTTTTATTGTTACGAGGACTACCATAATGCGGGTGTATGACAAATGGAATGTAGTGTTACAGAGTATTTTTGAAAATATCAAAATTTTTTCTATTTTTTTTTATAAGTGAACGGGAAAGTAACGTGAAAGTAATTTATAACGTAACGAGTAAAGTAATCCGTTAGCTTTCAGCGACAATGGTTTGTAACAGGGATTCATTATATTTAGGAATCGGTAAATTGTAATTGTAATGTATTACATTTTTTTCGAGTGACGGGCCGAGGTCTGGTCGAGACACCTCTGCGGCACGAAAACGAGGCGTCTCTCGTCCAACTTCTCGTCAGGTCGGGACCCGCCGGCCTGCCCGAACCAACAGACAGCAGCACGGCAGCACGCAACCAACCCAACCAAAGTGACAAAAGCGCCAAAGTTGCAAAAGGCGGTCGAGGCTCAGTTGTATGCTGCATGCGAAACGACGAAAACTGAAACCTGTGACGTCACCATCGAAAACAACTAAGACAAGCACTGACGTCATGTGTCACGCAAAACATGTCGCGTGACCTTGGCTCCGCACTCCGGGCCGCAGTCCACCTCCGAGAAGGACGACCCTATTTTCCTAGTGGGTGTTTTATGGTTTTTTTTTTTTCTATGATAATGAGATTCATGAAGGAGCGACACGCTGGTAGCGCTACACAATCCAGTTTCTCTGCCAAATTAAGCGGGGATATTAACGTTGTGACTTGACGTCATGTGATCTTTGCTGAGGGAAAGATGGGGAAAGAAAGGAAAGGGGAGGGGGTAGACGCAAATTCGGAGAGGAGGTTCACAGAAAAAGTGTTAGAAAATAACAAAAATATGTAAAATAGAAGTACAGTTACACAAACAATAAGCTTAAAAAAAAAGTGTGTGAGGTTTGTGCAACACACATTTCGAGCTCCGTCGTTTTTATAAACATGATCAAGTGTGTGTATTTTTTTCTTATGAATTATAGATATAGAGGAACGACACACGTTACTTTTTATTGATCAGTCACCGTAACCAAAATTGTTTCTTTGCACAACAACCCACAATTGTCAAAAAATGCTTTATGCACTCCTTTCCCAAATATCGGTCAGCCAGTCTCTAAGCTGTATTTTTACTTCTTCTGAAGTGCACTCCTGTAAAAGAAAAAAATGCGACACTAGTTTTATAACAATCAGAACACAGATATCACTCTTATAATACAGCTTCCTTTTGATTATAGAGATGTCTGTAATTGCGCAGCACTTTATTTTTAATACATTTTGCTATAAAAGATTCACACTGAAATACTCATTTAAATGTGCTTTTTACAAATGTGCTTTTTACAAAACGCGGATGATTAGATTATCATCGCGTTCCGCCACTGCTAGCTTTGCGACTGCCGCACGAATGGAAACTTTGGTGCTCTCCCAAGTTTCTCACGAGCTTTAAGCCGTTCTAAAATTCACTGATATAGTGGTTTTCGATTATGCTCAGCATGTTTTTAATTGAAATCATATGATTATTTTTAATAATTAAAAAGTTAATTAAGTAAGTTAAGTTAATTATCCGACTTATTGCAAAGATTAGCCACCCATATAATGTACCCCTTGGCCTTATGACTCTCCTGCACAAACTGTTTTAGTGCATCTTTTTCGAATGTGTTGTAATAAATGCGTTCGAATTAAAATGAAACATCCGATATAAAGTCTGTACCTCTCGAGTCTGGGCAGCGCCTTTATCAACCGTACAAAAATGTTTTACGGTTCGCGTTTTGGTTGTGCGACAATGCGCTTTTTCACGTTACTCGTGGAGAGTAATCTGGCACAATTACTTTATTGAATATAAATTTGTGAGAGTTAACAATAACAAAATTCTACGAGAGTATAATTCTTATAATTTTTATAGAAAACTAAAGCACGATCTGCGTTTTTTGTTACTATTTTTTAAACGTGTTGGTGCCGCGATTAATTCTATGTTGAATCACCCTTATAAACACCGTGGCTCGTGCATAATCTTACGCTGCAATGCTGTTTTATTCACCACACCATCATTACATGGACGCCTCTTACGGAGGCACTCCTTCCCACCGGCTGAGAGGAACAGGCATATTCTAGCAAACCATTTGACAGGACATGGTGTAACCGCTGAAAAGAAATTCGCCTCATCAATAGGCTTAAAAATACGGTATTACACGTGGCCATTGCCACTCAATATTTGCCTACCAGTCTTCGACAGGAAGGTCATTTGGCTATTCTAAACACTGAGAGGGTTCAGGAATTGTGACCGAATCATCAAGTTCGGGTTACGTGGGTGGGATTCATTCTACTATCTGAGGACTTTTTTGTAGTTGCCATGATCATGTAAATGTAGGCGTGACATAAGAGGTGTTTTAAGTCTCGTGAAATATTTCGCATCGAAGTTTGAAAGTAGCTGCATATTTAAATGATGTTTATACTATCTCTGCACCGACTGTACACTGAGATACAGGCAAATATGTGTTCATCTGCATGCACAACAACAACAAAAAAGACGACATAGTGTATCTTATTGAATGAGCCCAATGGAATTAAATATGGTTTGTCACATATTAAAAATATAGTTCGCGTGTAAAATTTGCATAAAATTATAAAAAAAAAATACAATCAGTTTTACCTCTGTTAATGCCAAACACATGACAATGCCAGAAATATTTTATACTGATCTGCCATGCTGCCCTCAAAAAAAGTAAAACTTAATTATCAACAACTTTATTTTTATATGAAAAAGCCGGGGTCTCGCTCCAAGGGCACATGTGAGAAAATGAAGCGCCCAGGCAGCAAGAGGCTTCCCAGGTGACTTACCATTTTACCGCCCGAGCACACCCCTTCTGGCAACTCCGTCGTTTCTCCCGTTTGGCATATCACAGTGCATGTTCTTGGATCAAAGGTTTCGTATTTCTGAAATACAGTTACATAATGTCACGAATAAAATTGTGTAATAGAAATATGTAAATAAAAAATAAATCTTTAAAATGTTCAACTTGGACAAAAGCGAAATTCCGAAGTGCATGAACTGGCGTCGCTTACTTCAATCTTGTTGTAACGACAGGATCTAGCTCAAGAGCAACGCTGACTGCAGCGGTTTTTTGTCTTGAACAGAGCAACAGGTTTTGGTACTCTTGTTGAGGGGGCACTGCTGATATCTGCGGGTGCCTTAACCGGCGGGTCAGTAGCCGCAAATGGGATTTATAGGAGACCTGACCGGCTCCGTGGGTAAAAATACATAGCCTTCTAGCCGATTCCGCTCATCACACTTCAGCATTGCTTGTCGCTTTATTTGACTTTCTGACAACACATTATTCCCCAGAAGTAGACATGTACACATTGGTGAACAATAATAATTAAATTCCCTTACTCATTACTCGAACAAAAAGTAACAGAGAACTGTGCTAAGAAAACCTATCGGGAATACGGGAACGCGTCCTATTTCATGACAGCGCTATCCTGGTGGCAGTCAAAGAACTGCTCTCTGACGTAGCGCTCAGTGAAACAACCATGCAAGTTGGGACAGCTGGCTAAATGTTGACATTGCGGCTGGACAGGAAAAAACAGAGCAATTTAGTTTGTGAGGCAATCAATGCTTTTAGCCACCCCTTCACTTACGGTGTATATAGGTGACTACCGAAATCGTCAATTTATATATGGCTTATTCAGTAGAAATATCAAATACCGATTATAGAATTCAATCACTTATAGTTTCAACAGGTATATTTTCGCCTCTTCGTGCACAAAGGTGGCGATAAGTATAGACTGGCCGCCGGAAAAAAATTGTGAGTTTTGTTCGCGTTAAAGCCGCAATTTTGATCTTGATAAAACGGCCTCCCTTGCGTGGGCTGTTTCATTGAGCTCTAGGTTATCAAGTACTTGTACAGCTACCGCCAGGGTAGTTATATGAAGTATCAAGTTATATCAGGTACCAAGTACTCATGAGATAAGACACCGCTTGCGTGTACTGGAAAGCTTGGTGAGCACCATAGGTTACTCGGCACAGAGATTCGATAGAATCACGTTACTTTTTCGCTCCTCTGGATGTTTCATTTTTCTGAAACGAGTAGCTGCCTTCCATGTTTCTGTCGATAATAATTCGTCATTTTTTTAACCACTCGTGGACATAAAACTTCCCACAACAGTTTTACTTTAGGCAATATTTACCCCGTTCAACCTTGTAGAACTACTCGCCCCATCCGATACCAGTAGAAGCAACGATATAAAAATCAGCGCCTTGATTTATTTTTGAAAAAATGGTTGCGCTTATAGAGACAAGGGGGAGGAACACACAACACGATCCCCTAGCACCAACTGTATAAGTTTTGGAACTCCGCGCGAATATATACTCTGCGCCATCACGCGCCACTCAAACAATCCCGTACCCCGCTGCTAATCGCAAGAACTGGTTCTCTTTATCTGCCATATCAATCGTAGCCACGCTGACGCATTTACCGTCGTAACTTTAGGTTTAGACCGTTCCAATAATTTCACTTACTGTTTTATTTTTAGGCATGTTTGTAAGCGAGTACGTAGTGAACACATTGTTGCATCCGCACTCATGACAATGCATCGACAGATGGCCATCTCGATGTCTGCCCACGTTTTGGTTATATTCGCGTAATTTCTCATGAACACATCTTTCTGTATGGCCTATATATTATTTGCCACACGTTAACGAAATCTCATACACGTATCCTTCGCATACAACAAACTGGTTCCGGTGCTTCCTCAGACAGATTTCCGGGGCTTTTTGGAAGGATCTATTTTTCTTAATTTCCCTTATGTTTATGCTATTCGTCACTAAGGTGCTTGTACTGTATACGTTCCCTAACACATTCCATAGCTCAAGTTTTTGATAGACACATTTTTTATACAATCTGAGACACAAGTTTTTCCGTTCTTCCTATTTATACCTTGTTTCACTTCACGAGGGACCTCAAAGGACACTAAGAGCCACCGAAGTCAACGTAAAGCTCGCAGGGTGTCACATGTTCTTCCGACACGTGACGATGACACCGTTTTAGGGCTAAGAAAAATCTGACTCACAGGAGGCCAACAAAAGTGATAGTATGAGACAAATAATGGGAAATTGCCGAAGGCATGCATCCACGCGGCAAAGATCGCCCAGCTGCTATACAACGCTTTCGGAAGGGCAACTGAATCTAGGAAAGTCGTGGACGACATTTTGATTCCCGACATGCACCTCCTGAGATTCTGGGAGAGGCGACGGCAAGCGATCCTTAGATACAAGAGAGAGAGAAAAAAAAGAGAGTCCTCAAAGGAGTCAACAAGCTTGCCACAGAAGCCAAGGAGTACGCGAGAGAACTGGATGAAAACCGTTGTTAAAACTTCTGCGAATCCTTCGACCACATCATCATGATGAAAGACCATTAGGGAGTCTTCAACTCGATGAGCAGAAAGAACAAGAGCGTCAGCAACGTTCCCGTTATCCTGTTACTTGCGGAAAAGGAAACAGAAGAAATTATTGAGGAAACGGGGGAACGTCTTTTTCCCCAACTGAATTAAGACTCATACCAGAGCATCTACACCCCTAAACACCTCGGGTCGGCGAGAGAACGCCAAAATTCTTCCTTTAAGGGATGGGAACTTGAGGCAGCCATTGGCCAGACCAAGAAGAACAGCGCGCCGGGCCCAGACGGGATCACGGCCGCCATGCTGAGAAACACGCCAAAAACGGCCAAAGACAAAATACTGAAGACTTTGAATAGGATCTGGCAGACCCGCAGATTTTCCCGACGAGTGAAGAGTGACCGCGGTATTTCCTATCCCGAAGCCAGGGAAACCGTCTACCGACGCAAATAACGCCAGGCCCATCTTTCTAACGTCGGTCCTGGGAAAACTCATGGAGCGCAAGGTCTTGGCACGGAAACAGCACACTTCAACCCCCAGCGATAGGGATATTCCACACAACTTAAACGGGGTTCAGGGCGAACCTTAGTACCAGGGGCAGTCTCACCTTGATCTACGGAGACTTGGTGGACAGACCCAAAGGCAGCAAGAAGAGGAGAGTCGTCGTGCCAATAGACATAAAGAAGGCATTCGATTCGGCGCCGCATAAGACTACTATCTATACGATGGATGAGTTAAGTCTGAATGGAAGGCAGCTCGACTTTGTCCATTCTTTTTTGGCACGCAGAGTATACAGCATCGGGGCCGGCTTCGCCACAAAATCTAAACACGGATGAACCAGGGACAACAGGGTCGGGGTCCCGCAAGGAGCTGTTCTATCCCCGATCCTATACAAAATAGCGCTGGCCCCACTTATTTGAAAGCTACACGAGATACAGGGACTGGGATTGACGGCGTTCGGTGATGACATCACGATCTGGACGAAAGACGGAGTGTCAGAATCTCAGAAAGAGACGTTGCAGAAAGCACTCACCACCATAGCAAAGTACCTGGCTGAAGCAGGCATGCAGCCCTCGCCCGAGAAGACTGTGTACGCGGTCTTTGAGAAAGAACGCAGTAATACCGACCTGGGGCTCACCTTTAGCGGCAACCCCATCGACAGAGAACCGCCCGTTAGTGTTCGAGGGGTAAGCTTGGTGCACAGCAAACAAGTTTCTGACAGATGGGTCAGCGAAATGTCCAAGAAATGGACACAGCCAAGGACTGAATTTTGTGCCAAGGGTCTCCCACGGAAAATATGAAGCTCGAGAAGAGGTCCCCAAGAGACTTGTCATGGCGGTTCTCGCCTTCAAAGTCATTTAGGTCTCCAGCTTCTAGACACTAAGACCGCCGAGCTGCACGAGGCCATCTACTTGCCGGATTTCGCAGACACCGAAAAGCAGCAAAATGATGCACATCGAGCCAAGCTGCAACGCACGAAAGAAGGGAGGAAAATTTGCCCTTACGTATGGATTCAAATAGACACACGGCACTCCATCCCGGCTACGAGGCCACAATGGTACATTTTCGACCTAACCCCGACAGCCAAACCCTTACCAAGAAACATGTATTCGAATAGAGATAAGGAGCGCAAAAAAACACAAAAAAACACCAAGCCAGGAAGCACCAGCGAGAATCCCTGACCTTGATTTAGGATGCTAGCTGTGTGCTGGTTTACACAACTGCCGCACTGCAGCCAGACACTGCAAAATGGTCTGCGTATCTGGGATCCTTCGAGGCAAAAACAAACAAGGCAATAATGCCACGCCTCCGCGGATTCCCAGAATTAACACACGCCATAAACTCTAGAGATCAAGGCAGTTCATCTAGGAATTCGCACCGCAGCACAAGCAAAATAAAGTTGTCTCCTCCACCTCCTCCATCCCTAGGCTCTCCCACAAAGATTGGGAGTGCGAAGCCCTAACAACACTGCGACGGACCGTCATCGAGCTACTGCCAGTAACGGACAGACCAAGGTTTACGGCAGAGCGTGCACACCCGACCGGGTACGCGGAAAGGAGAGCCAGGTTTCTGATAATTCTCTTGGAAACGTGTCCCAGAGCAACGCCTCCTAGATAACAAAGCCGTAGTGCTAAGAGAAATATCGTCATCAGCGGCGGCAAATGCTGACAACAAATTGAACACGACGATTACGTCAATGTTCGGCTCAAACTTGATTTGAAGCCGAGCGGTGACTCACCACTCGTTTTCAATCTGTGTCCAACGTTGGCGTTCGCCGGTGACGCAATGATGCCAGCACTATGGCTTTGTCTGTTGACCAAGGGGAGCTCAGGATCTGGAATACCACCCCCCTCCGACACCCCGAGCCTGCCGCGCAGCATCTTTGCTCATGGGATTCACAATTGCAGTCAGAACCATCGTCACCAACAAGAGTCATTTGAAGATCGTCCAGGCTCCCAGCTACCGGCGGCGCACGAGCAGACAACCAGTGATTTCCCTACACACCCCGTAGGGGTGTGTAGGGAAATTGTTTTTCTTGTTTTTCTGAAGGCACTCCCTTAATTCGCAACGATCTCCTCTATTCTCAATGCCTCCCCCCCCCCCCCCCCCTAACCCTCCTCCCAACAATTTAGACATCACCCCCAATTTCAATTCCTGGGGAAACCCCTGCAGATAACCTGGATATCAGGTTGTGAACTCGTGGAGGGCTCTCGATTTTCAATACAAGTCAATTCCTTCCTTCCTTCCTTCCGGCTCGGCGGAGTGACGCGAAAGTGCGAAGTCACAAGACAAGCTACGAACTATGGATTGGCGCGTGTGTTCGTAGCGTTCATCGCGGTTCATTGTAAGGTGGAACGGAGTGTAGGCCTAGCACATGCAGGCCTTGCACACCGTCATGGTGGCGACTTACAACATTGAGGTGAGGCCGCATTTTTCGAGGAGGGCGGTGTCTCCCTTCGCTCTTTTAGGTTAATCTGCTACTGGCGCACCCGTGGGAGTGATCAGTGACGCGACCCATCTCCGGCTTAGACAGACCACCTACCCCGGTCGCGTCCATTTCCCGCAGGTTATATTAGCCGGCCCCAAAACCCCCGAGACTATAAGGGAGGCTCTGGTCCTCTTTTTATTTTTTTGCAGCTTCCCCTTTTTTATGAATTTACCTAGTATGGTAGCGTGGGCCCCTCCAGGTGAATCTGTCAGATATGACATCTCCGATATTTTAGTCTTTCTTTTTATTGTTTGGCCGACGTGCAAAACGTCCTGGCGTAGTCGTCAATAAACACGTCATTCTACGGTCCAACAGACATCCTGTGTTTGTACGTGGTATCTTCCCCCCCCCCTCCCACACACACACACACTTTCCGAAAAAAAGAGGGGAAACCCACAACAATCAGAATTTTTTTTTTTTTAAATAAGGAAGCCACCTTGGAATATCAAATAAAAAAATATCTATTTTCTGTTTAATTGTTTTCTATCCTTTCAAATACTCACAGTTTCTTGCTCAGAGCATATACTGTCTCCGCCTTCTCTAATTAATAACTCGCATTCGTTGGAAACTTCGGTGTATGAAGAAAACGATTCCCCTGAAAAAAAAAAAAAAAGATTGTGAATGAAGTTATTAGTTCGCTGGATAATGCCAACAGCTCACTTGAGCTAAAAACGCAAACGATTTTATTTAACTTTTCCTTTTATTTTACTGTTCCTTTCAGCTTCCCAGTTTACATCCCAGGTGCAAACGGCTCATCTCATTATCGTATGTATTTTGATTAATTACATTATCAAAACCATCGCCTTATTTTTTATTAGAAGTGTATAAACATTGATAAGTTAGAACCATTTTTCTGCTTTGTTCACCAATATTACTGCTACTATTTTATATTAAGGACTTCCTCGCTAATGTGTGCACTTTGTTGTTGTGTCTAAAAGCGAACTGCCGCTGTTAATCAGTAAGTCCGGCGCACTTTCCCGATATTAGGATCACGACGGGTTTAAGTGAAGGAAGTATACCTAAATTACGAAGTGGCAGTTTTTTTATGTTTTTTTTTTTAATTTTGTAGATATCCTATCTCCAAATTTTTTTATCGGTGGTTTACTGCGAAACCGGAACTACCGGCTATAGCATTATGGCAAGCCATGTGATCAGCTGCATGGTCGACACGTGACGCAAAGTTCGTATTGAGGTACCGCGAAGCGTATTACCTTTCTAGTCGCAAGAGCAGTTTCGATCAGATAGGTAAGAGCTACGGCTTTTTTACTTCTTTGCTCTGCAGATATCAAACACCATCTGTACCATACATTAATAAACGTTCATAAATTTACCAGCTGAAAAGGAAGTCTGCCACGATGAACCTATATTGCAGTTCTTCTGAGAAGAACTACAATCTTGGTGAAGCGTTGTAAAAGCAGATCGTAAGCCCGCGCTTAGCAGGAAAGAACTAAACTATGGCCTTCAGCGAATGCCACCTTCGGTACAACCTTCGGCACCACGACGCACTTGAGCCAGCAGAAAGTCAATAATCTTTGTGCGCGATCGCTGTAGAGTACTTAAAAACTACGACCTCTAAAACATAACGTAACAAGCAGAAATCGTACGCTGGGACGGCTGAAAACGCAGCATAAAACATTGCGAGAAAAGTGGGAGTACGCGCAAGAAACCTTCTAAAAAAATGAAAATAACATCAGGGCACAAAGGTGCTTGATAAGTAGCCAACAAGCTGCACGCCCTCCGAGTAGTTTGTGGTAGCATTTTTAGTATCGGTTTTAGGGTGAATTGCGGTTTCCCATTAGTATAATAATTTGACACTGCTCGTATTTAGTCTCCGTAAGTCGATACCAGTCATTTAATTTGGTTCGACTTTTGAGCAGAGTCACCCTTTCATGTAGGAAGAATGTTTCATAATTTTTTCGTCCAGGGCTGTCGCTTTTTTTATTCTCAAATTAAAGTTTGCAATCTCCTCTTTTCCAGGGCGCACAATTCTTCGATACACTCGTCACCAGCGGCAATTCCCTTCCGTTACCATTACCGGTGCACCCGTCTCTTCATGCCGTCCTGGAAGAATGAGGGCGGCTGTTGACAAAACCAAGGCCACTCTGGAGGAGTTGCATTTTCAAGATGTTTTGCCTCACCAACCTTACAGCTCGGACCTCGAGCCAACAGACTTCTGTCTGTTTTTCAAGAGAACACGGTTTTTGCCCAGAGTGTCCAACTTAAAGTTTTATTGGCTCGGTTGGGGTTCGGGTTCACGGCTTTTGGTTCAGTTCCGGTTCAGTTCCGCGGAGCAAAGATAACGGTTCGAACCGGTTCGAACCGGCTTGAACCGCTAAATTGAGAATATATTTTCTGCATTGTCCCTGCCATAGGCACTAGGGAGTTTTAGCAAGTCGTTTTTCGAGCGCACGGTTCCGAAATAACGAACGGTGCAGCTGGTCCGTTCCGTGAAATCGTACGTGAAATTTGACATATTTTAGCGAATCGTGAGGCTGGCGTAACCGTGTAAACGATGACGACGATTGTTTTTGACTGGTGGCGCCATCTTCTAGTAAACATGTGAAACATTCTGCAACGTGCCAATCCGTGGCGGCTCGTGTTTCTGGAGTACGACTGATGTAAACAAGACGGCCGGCGTAACATTTGCCGGTCGCACTTCAAGACCTGCGAAGCTAGATCGAGTAAAAAGTATCTGAATGACCGTGAAGGTATGTGATGTTTCTCCCTCATCTTGAACTTGAACGATCGTTCACGTTTTGTGCCGTCGAATCAAATCATTTCGTCTGCTCGCGGTCGCCACGGCAGCTAGTCTGCCCGGAGACCGCAAATATTTAGCATGCGCTGTTTACAGCATGCACGATCGCTTACCATTGTGAGCAGTCCTCGAAATGATTTGGTTCAACCTCTCCAATGAAGCAGAGTAACAGGATGGAAAATCGCCTCCCGCTGTCCTAAGCCTAACGCTCGACTGGATCGGCGAAATCGGTCGCCGAACCGACCCCTATCTTTTTTTTACCCGAGTCGTGAACGGTGCTGGCTGCGTTGCGATGACGACTCCAGCGGCTGGAGTGGGAGAAAAGAACGAGAAGAGACTACCGACGCCCCGAACGACTCGCACGCGCATGCGCAGTGGTGTCGCCGATGCGTTCGAGGACGAACCCTTCGTCTGGAAACGACCTGCTAAACTCCCTACTATTTACGCCGTGTAACGATTAACTATATAGTTTTTTTTTCCTATCGTTTGTGCAATCCTCTTCAGATTTCAAGAAGGAAAAATATTAAATTTTGTCATTTAATTTCGACACAACAGTGAATATAAATCTACCCTAACATATAGAACCTCGTGTTTATACGACTCAACTTGTTAGCCACAGTCACATATATTGTACCTGAATCAATAAGTTCTTGCAAAGTGAGGTAGGTCGCCTAGAATAGCCGTGATTGGTACAACTTTGCATCGCAGTGTTAAAAGTTAAATCGTGGTTGTGCCCTTGAGCTAAGGAATTAATTACAGTGCATAAAATTATGAAATAGGCACCTCGTCACCACATATATCATCAACCATACGATATACGTTTCACAATACGCAAATGGTGAAGACACAAGTGAGCTCAAAGCAATACAATTTCCAAAATGTCACGAAAGTTTTAGGACATGTCCTTCCAGTGTATCTTTTATAGAAACACTGAGCGGAAATCACAATGCTTGTTTTATGACCAACCTTGTTTGACTTTACGCTCATCTCCGTAACGCAGGCGACGAATCATGCAGAAAGGAGTGATTTAACTTGTACCCCTCTAATTTATAAGCACCTTCGTACTAAGATCGAATCTGGCATTAAATAGTGCTTACCCAAGTGAACATTTTCTTATATAATAATAAACTGACAGAGCTTGGATGTTTATGTTTGTTCTTGACACGATACCGGTCAATTTAATTAGCAAAGAAGCATCAACCTTGCTAACTGATGACTTTTTGTTAACTAGAACAAAGTGGTATTTCATGCTCTACTCGATATAGCAGCTACTTAATTGGACACTTTCTGACGGCTTGCGTGCGTAATTGTCATAATTCCACCCCGCGTCCTTGTGACAGTGCCGCTCTGCCCTGTGTTTTGGGGGGCAGGATCCCGTCGAGCTGCAAACTTGCAGCTTTTTTTCCTGGCCCCCCTTGTCACATGTGTGTAAAAGCGCTGTGACAAAAATAAACTGATTCTGATACTGTGTATTTTGCTTTTTCAACCCACAGACACATAAAAGTTTTGTTCACTACATAAAAGAGGCAATAAATAACTTCTATATGTTGGAGAAGTTGTATATGTACACTGTAAACGACTTAATTTTCGCGAGGAACTGATTTTCGCAAACTTTGCGAATCGCCTGCAATTCACGAAAAATAGGTTCCGCGAACAATTCCGGCAATATGTAAACATATTGGAATTTTTACTGCGATTCCACCGCTTCGCGAAAATTAGAACCCGCGAAAATTCCCAAAACTTCGGCTTTGACCTAAATCGCGAAATATTGAGCCCGCGAAAAATATAAGTCGTTTGCAGTATGTCAAGAACAGGTAGTAATTTAAATTAGCTTCAAAATAAGAAATTAATTTAAGGCCTTCCTAAATTAATTATAACGTTTGTATTGAGGATAAGAACGCCGAAAAATATTTGCAGAGCATCTTTCAGGTAATTTTGGGGTATATTTACTTATAATATATATATATATATATATATATATATATATATATGAGAAGAAAAAACCCTTAGTGAAAACAGCAACAACGGACGATTTAATCTTCGACGTTTCGGCCGGAGTCCGGCCTTCCTGACGAAGGCCGGACTCCGGCCGAAACGTCGAAGATTAAATCGTCCGTTGTTGCTGTTTTCACTAGGGGTTTTTTCTTCTCAGTTATATACCCACGCCTTCGGCCTCCCGCCACCATGCCCGTTTTATATATATATATATATATATATATATATATATATATATATATATATATATATATATATATATATATATATATATATATATATATATATATATATATATATATATATATGGGTGGTTTCATCTCAAATCGTGCAGGCAAAAAGGGTCGAATTTTTAATTTCGATGAAAAAAATATATGTTATGCCGCCGTTTCTAAAACCGCAGTCGACACAAACCGCAAGTTCGTCAGATTTTTTCTTCTCGACTTATGAATTTTTAAAGAGGCCGCGACGAAAAGCAGTGTTTTTCACACCCGTCGTGGGTCGGATGTTTCGCTTCATCTCCCGCCATGGATTTTCAGTCCACACTATATTAACTTTTTTGAAGCACTCTGTGGACACATTTAAAAGGCTCCAATACCATGAAATAATTTTAGGCCTTTTGCTTTTTTTCTGTAAAAATGTCAAAAACGCCTCCTCGGTCAATTGTTGACGAACTTTGACAATTAATTACTGGCGATCTACTTGGGTTACACCGATATTTTTTATGTCCGCGGAGAGCCCAAAACACGCTCCTTTTATTTATTATAAAATGACTTGGCTGTATAAAATATCCTTTGCGGTACGTTTACGTTAATATTATGCAAAAACCAAAAAGTACCATTTTT